GCAAGGTACCAACGTGACAACACAGTACAGCTTGAGTACTAAATTTATCAAGACATCATGAATACCAGTTTAACAACGTCATAAATGTTTGGCATGTGTCCTGACCTTGTGCTGAAGTGTCAAGAAGTGTTGTCAATCCATTGATTAATGGCTTTTCCTTCATGTATCAACCATTTTTTTCCTCAAAAGTTTGTGTTATTACATGTACATGCATGTATACATGTAGTTTTGAATTGTGAATTCAAGGGTAATTCAGGTAGGCATTGACTATACTGTACAAATTATGCTCATAGCTTGGTAGACGTGAAATTCAAAAATCATTACTTTCACAGGACTAAATTTGTATTTCTCCATTCAACAAAACGTTATTGGATTCCACTTAAAAATGCAATTTGAAAATTTGCACAGACGAGAGATTAAGTTGGGAAAAGTTTTTCCATTATAAACATCACGAAAGTGACTATTAGGAGATACATGTACGTGTGCTAAAACGTTTCACACATCTGAAAAAAAAACACACAAAAAATAACATTTTAATAGAACTCTCTCAAATGCTGTCACTACCTGCAGATTGTAAAGTGCATCAGCATTTTGGGTGTCAAATTTGCATGACGCGCATCGGCTGTGCTGTATTTCTAAGAAATTTCAAGCAACATGCGCGCGTGTTTGGAACATTTTGCATTCTGCGCGCACACATACCTGATGGAGTTGAATATGCAGTTGTAATTTTCCTACAAAGATGGCTGTCTATGAGAGGTCTCTAGAGTTAGATATTGACAACATTTTTGCTTTCTTCTAAAATGGGCTGTATTGTTTATCATTTCATCAGTGAATAAATAATAAGAATAATAATGTATTCCTATAGCGCATTACATCAAAAGAAAAATCTCAATGCGCTTTACAAAATTAATCGCATAAAAAAACTCATAATATTAGTACATTAAAAAGCTCATTCAAAATTTACGATACATGTAGATCAGAAACATTGATTAAAACACACAGTAAGACTCATTAGAAATACATTAACATTACAATCACAAATACAATGTAATACAGGTGCTAAAATGGGTTTTATCTACCAATTTGCCAGAAGTCATCTGAAACAATTTATTACTTTTAGTGCCTGTTAGGTCTATTAACACCTGTCCCTAGTTCTGTTCTGTAATCCTTTCCTGAAATTTAACTATTGACATCGCTAGGGAGTTTCTAATGGGGTCTGCAAACATTAGAAGCTAGGTGAGTCAAAATCAACAATGCTGTGGTTGGTTTGGGAAGGGAAGGTGCTTAAGTTTAAAGTACATGTATGAACACAGTGTAATGGTGTTATCACTGCTGGCCTATTGGGGCTGTAGATGTACTTCAAATAGCTACCATGCTTAACTTTTGGGTAACTATTAAGGATTTAATGGATATTTTGATCACTCTGATTGAATCATCTTGAATAGATGTTTATCAAAGTTTGAATTGAACTTAAGTACATGTAACTTCAACAGGTACAGAAATTCAACAGGTACAGAAGTTGGTTGAGATTTGTTATTCTTGTTGGCTGTTTCGGCACTTTTGCCGAAACAGCCTTTGTTTTCGTTAAGATTTTTATTTTTTTCTTTTTTTTTTTTTTTCTTTTTCAGTCATTTTCCCCATAGCATTTGTACACGTTTTTTTGTCACCGGCACTTTGGGCACTAAAATCAATCCGATTGACTTTATACTTGCACACACTTAAACCAGCATCTGAAGTTGTGTGCCGAACATTGACGTCATCGTGACGTCATCGACTAATTTATTATAGAATTTTGAATATTTAATTTTTCCCATAGACTTTGTACACAGAAATAAAAAAAAAATTGTTGATTTTCAAAGGGCATTTTTGACTCTTTGCCAGTAATTCATTTGCACCAATCTTTGTCCAAGCAAAGACCCTAATTCAAACAACATTGTGTCATGATGACGTCATGATGACGTCATCCGGTGTGTATTTATAGGCAATTAAATTGTGACACTTTTAATATTTAAAAATGCATAAGAAATCAACCGTATGCGTCCGCAGCATTCTGTTACCGGCAAGTGATAGACTAGGTTGAGGTTTTTATTTTATTTAGTGTGCGTGAAATCACGTGACCCTTGCTTCCGGTCGAAAAAGGCCAAAACCGGAAGTGGCTTATTATTTAAAAATGGTAATAGATATGAACTTGCTTTTAACGGTGTTAGTCTCTTGGCTAAAAGTATTCTTCAAATCATCTACCAATGACGTCATGCAATCTTCGAGCGCCCTCTAGCGACAGGTTGAAAATTTGCAAAAATGTATTTTGAATAGATGTCTGTGGCGAAGTTTGTTGGAATCGCCTAAATATTGGTGTATATGATGACCTTGACCCACTTAAGACGTGTGCGAAGTTTTAGGCGAATGACGTCATCAGACCGGAAGTTATAATAAAAAGACCCTGTTTCATTTGAAAATTCCTGAAAAATCAACCATGGCAGTTTTTATGTTAGTTTTTACTTTAATTGTCGATTTAAGGGTAGGTCTAAAACATTTCAAAGCTTCAAGGCAATAAGCGAACTCGGACATGCCCTGCGAACGCTTAAAACTTCAGGTTGACAATACATCTGCTCTAAAACATGCACAGAACGTCTATATGTACATACACGTACGTTACGCACATACATCGTATGTCAGTCAGCCTGCAGAGCACGTGTTGCCGAGGTCAAATCCTGTCCACATCATATCACAGTGACCGTTTTAGCCGATTTTCGGCTAACTTTGACAGATTTTATGTTCGTGCATGGGCATAGTCAGGGACGTATAATAAAAAATCATAATGCCGAAAAGCCCTTTGTTACGTATTTAAAGGTGCAGTTTTTCTGCAGTGGGATTTTCCACAAGTCTTTTCCTATACAACACTGATATCTTACTGAGTAGTTCTGAACATCAGCCGAGAATTACTATGAGAAGGAAAGAGAAATCGTATTTTTTTCGCGCTGTTATTCGATTGAACATATTCCCAAGGGTCAGAATATCAAGTAATATTTCATAAAAATGTTTCAGTTCAAAGGCAAATTACAAATTTAAAGGTGCAATTTTTCTGCAGTGGGATTTTTTTTAGCCCATTAACTTTGTACACGTGTTAGCCCCTTGACTTTGTACACGTTTTCAAGCCACCATTTCTATAACTTGGCGATCTAGAATCGTCATCAATGTTACAGCCAAGGAAGACCCTCATACAAAAATTATGCCAAGACTATGACGTCATGATGACGTCATTACCTAAATTTTTTTCTTGATTTTTGAAAATTTACGTGCATATTATGAAGTCCTATATCTACAGAACTGTAAGTCTGATTGGGTTGAAACTTGGTATGTGGCTAGACCGGGATGTGTTATAGGTAAAAAAAAAAATTGGTGGTGGAGACCTGAACATGATTTTTGCGGGAATTGATAGAATTATCGAGTGTCTTCATTTTTTAAATATGTGCAAATAAATCACGTGACCCTTTCTTCTGGTTGAAACCGGAAGTGCTTTGTAATTTAAAATTGGTGAAAGACTCGAACTTGCTTTAAACTATGTTTGCTCTGGCTAAGTTGTTCTTTTACGATAATATTATAGTAATAGATGAAACTTTATGTGACGTCATCATGACGTCATCACGTGACATGTGACGTCATAATTTAAAGCCCTATGCGAATTGAATCACATATTATATGCCACCATTTATTATAAACAGAACTACACATCCTTCGTTGATGGAACTTATGTCACATGTCACAAAAAGCTACCGAAACAGCCCTATGTTTGTCCACAAACATATGTCTAGTTTACATTTATTTTTGTGGCGTTAATTTACATAACTTGATAATTCATTGTTGGCATTTACATTTTAAATTAATGTTTACTTTTCAGTATTAGTAACCATTTTTTTCTTTCAAATTGTTATGTTGTTGGTGCAGGGTGTGTGTGTGTTGTGATAAGATCCTACTGGAATGGATATGGATGATTGATATTCAATAGTAGATTTTTTTTAGCATAACTATATGTACATGGTACATGTACATGTATGTTATTTGAATGAAACATTTGTTGTTGAGCACGAAAGTTCGTTTCCAGTCCCATTATTGAATCAAGCCAATGGAAAAGCACCTTTTTGGGGGACTTGAGTTGAAGAGCTCGTAGCACTTGTTGTAGTTATTTCTTTGCATGTTTCTTGAATGGTTAAGAACCCCACCCCAAATACCATGTATTAAAAGTATGGGGTGATTTTCTTAATATATACCGGTATATTTAAATAAGGTAAGGGAAATCTGTAATGAAAACTGGAGGACCATTTGTATTATGAAAGTAGGGATACATTTTTTTCACCAGTTTTTCAGTCTGTTGGTTGTGTGGTAAATTTCAAGTACATGTTGTTGTAGATATAGAAGTTCTTCCTGTTGTTAGAAGACAGAAATACTACTGTACTAACCGAACTTACCCAGTGTTGCCATCTAACGCCAACTCAATATTCAAATGCACATGTGCATTCACAAATATTTTTCATGTTGTACAAAATTGAAAATTCCAGATCCGGTTACTATTGCCCCATTGACATGTGGATATATCTCTGACTGTGTTTATCCCCAAAATCATCAAAGCATGATGTGAACACGCACAGTTTGAATACCAAACTGGTTTATTAGTTACCATACTCCACAAAATGAGTCTTAACATTGGAAAGAGCACACACACTCAGCTCTTCATGCAACTTAAGACTCATTTTGTTGAATTTGGTCACTTTTGTCCTTGACTCAAAAGGGCTGGCCTACATTTGTCTGTATGACTGAGTTACTGACTGACTGACTGACTGAGTCAGTTGAGCTGAGTATAAATATGATGTCCTACATTGAGACTGTCAGGTCCAGCTGGACTAAGCAAGCCTCGCCTTGTTTTTTTTGTTTGTTTAGCTTGATTCTAAAAAATATCCCGCTGCTCAAATTTTAATTATGTACTTAAACATTTTTTTCTTAAGGTGTCCGAGCTGATGACATTTCACTTGCCGAGCAGGGAGGAGCCCAAGGAAGCGTGGGATCTCTGGAGTACCGGGATGATCCAGAAGACACCAGGGTTGATGATGACGGAGATGAGTCGTATCTTGTAGCGGCTGAGGAGCCCTTGCCAGAGGTTAGTCAGTTGGGGATGGGTCATGCAACTAGGGGTGTGGACCCCTGGGGTAGGGGTAGGGGTAGGACCCTGGGGTAGGGGTAGGATCTCTGGAATAGGGTTAGGATCCCTGGAATAGGGTTAGCATCCCTGGAATACCAGGATGATCCAGAAGACACCAGAATTGATGATGACGGAGATGACTTGTTTCTTGTAGCGGCTAAGGAGCCCTTGCCAGAGATTCGTCATGGGAAGTGGGGTCAGGCAACTATGGGTGTGGATAGCTGGGGTGGGCTATGGATCCCTGGTGGGGGGGGGGTCCCTTGGGTAGTGATGAGAGATCCCAGGGGTGGGGTGGTGATCCCAAGGGTTTCGGGATAGGAGATCCCAGGGGTGGGGATGGGAGATCCCGGGGATGGGAGATCCCAGGGGTGGGGTGGTGATCCCAAGGGGTTCGGGATAGGAGATCCCAGGGGTGGGGATGGGAGATCCCAGGGGTGGGGATGGGAGATCCCAGGGTGGGGTGGTGATCCCAAGGGTTTCGGGATCGGAGATCCCAGGGGTGGGGATGGGAGATCCCCGGGTGGGGTGGTGATCCCAAGGGTTTGGGGATGGGAGATCCCAGGGGTGGGGATGGGAGATCCCAGGGGTGGGGATGGGAGATCCCAGGGGTGGGATGGTGATCCCAAGGGTTTCGGGATGGGAGATCCCAGGGGTGGGGATGGGAGATCCCCGGGTGGGGTGGTGATCCCAAGGGTTTGGGGATGGGAGATCCCAGGGATGGGGATGGGAGATCCCACGGGTGGGGATGGGAGATCCAAGGGGTTTGGGGATGGAGATCCCTAGGTTGGGGTTGGGGATCCCCGGGGTGGGGATGGGGAATATCTGGCAGCTGCTGATGAACCCTTGTCAGATATTTATTCTTACAAAAACAACAGAGGAGGGGAGTTAAAAACAAATCCTATCAATTAAGTACTACAAAGGAGCAATGAACCTTTAAAAACTATGTGGGTCAGTGGTTACATTGTAAAGTCTACTACCATTACCAGCAGTACCTACAGCTATTATTTTCTCGCTGGTATACATGTAAGTCTAAACGAAGGACAAAAATGAACAAATAAATTAACATTGCTTTGGGTTTTGCAGGATCTACTTGCCAACCAAGATAGTGCCCCCACCATCGGCCAACTCGAAGTCGTCTTTGATTACAGCGGGGACAGCAGTCGCATGAATGTCACCATCATGCGCGGCCTGAACCTCCCTACTAAGGACAAAGGCGGGGCCTCGGCCTGGCGACTCCGCATCCTCCTCTACCCCAAGAAGCAGCGCACCAAGACCCGGATCCGCGAGACAGAGGAGCCCGTCTTCAAGGAACTGTTCCGCTTCACCCGCATCCGGCCCCACGAGCTGGTCAACACGGCGATCCGGCTCCGGTTGTACGCCGCCGAGCGCATGCGGAAGGAGAGGCTTGTCGGGGAAGGGCTGGTCAAGTTTGCCTCGCTGAGCACATCGGCCCCGCAGACCGTCATGGTCAAGCTGGTCTCCAGAAGTGAAACTGTAAGTTGTGGCCTATTTCTATCAGCTTAAATTGTATCAAAGGTATCAACCAATTGGGATTCCATCAATTAAAGCCAACACTGTAGATTGTTAATGTGTGGTCCTACTCTTGTTAAATGTTTCTCTACTAATCTAACAACTGATTCAGGCACTTAGTAAGTTACCATTTTTGAGTGAATTTTTTTTCTGATTGCTTGGATCGCTAGTGATGTTACACACAATCAGTTATTATGTATGCATGTTGTGATTGTATGCTTAGGCACATTGGATGAAAACTACGATCATGATTTCCGCTCTTTTGGTTTTGTGGTTGTTTGTACATGTATGCTGCAAAGGCTTTGAATTGCAATGGAAACTCAGTGTGACCTGTCGACGTGGAGTTTTAGTTGTGGGGATATCTTTGATGTCTATTAACTCCTTGCACAAAAGTGCACAATGACGCTTGAATGCTGTTACCACTTTATGCCAAGTGCTCACGCAAAGATGCTTAGGAGTTATGCACATCGAGAAGAAAATTAACAACGCCATATGTGTTTGGGTCTTTTATAAGTAATCACATGGCTCTATCCACTGTCACTGCATGGAATTCGTACATGTTAGTCCTAAGTAATCACTCTAAAAGCACAAAGCCTTAAAATAAGAGGAATCATGTTGCTCTCCATCCTTCCCTCCCTGATAGCTTGGTGGGGGCAACGCCTCCCCCTACTCCAGCTCCTCGGACCTCTCCGCCAGTGGAGACAGCAACTCCTCCCTCCAGTCTCTCTCCCACGGTGGTCTACCGGAGCTCCTGGTGGGCCTGACATACAACGCTACCACGGGACGACTGGCCGTGGAGCTCATCAAGGGGAGTCACTTCAAGCAGCAAGCTGCTGGACGCGCTCCTGGTGAGTGATAAAAAAAATTAAGAGAAAATCGAAATCTGTCACCAACATTTGAAAAAAAGGACTTCATATGTCTGTGATCTCTCCCTCAGTTTTGTTGTACAAAGATTTAACAATGTCTCTGGATTTGTTTATTTTGCAAAGCATTTGTTCATGGTTCATATGTACTTGCTCACAACCAGGAACTTGAAGTGACACTATTGTGTCTGCCCAAAAAATTTCACGTAGTACAATTTGTTTTGGATTTTTCAATATTCCACTGAGCCATGACATAATCTTTGCCAATCCTATCGACCATGCGACAGAGTGACCAACAACAGCCTATCTAACGCGTTTACTAAACATGCATAAAGGTTTTGCCAAAACTTTATCTAAAATTAACATACCTTCCCATCCTTAGTTTACACAATTCTTTCTGGTAGATGAAACCATGTTATTCTTACAGTCACTGTAGCTCGGAAGCTTGAAGAAACCTCTAGAAAAAAAAAGAGAAGACAATGACATATGCTCAGTTTTGTAGCTTGGAGGAAAAGTTTGGAATGATATTCCAGAAGAAACTCAAAAAATCAAGGACCAGTTTTCATGGATCTGCTATGCACAAAAATTGGCTTAGCGCAGAAAGTGTTTTGCTAAGCAGAAACAAATAACTAGCCAAGTTTTCTATAATGCACATTATTACCACTTCTCAGCCAACTTTTGCTTGGCATTTAAATCTCCTAAAGCAGCACTTTCATGAAAGTGGACTCAGGCAAGGACTGGCAAATTATCGCACATGTCAGTTTGGGTGGGTTTTGAACCAGAGTCACCGAGGTGGAAGGCAAGGAAAAGTACCACTGCTAAGTACCATGCCTAACCCAAATTGTATCAAGTTGAATTGAATCAACTTAAAATCCACTCTGTGTTGGGCATTATGCGCAGCAAGCAGCGTAGCTTGGGGAATTAAAACTTGCAGGAAGTCCTGTTTTTAACAAAGAGTGCTAAGTGATCTGATGAAATGCTATTGCTCCCCACTTGTATTGAACTGCTATTGAAACTTGTCTGGGCTTCATTGTATTCATTGCCCAGTGAGGGAGCATGCTGCCAACAATGCTTTTCATAGTGTCTCTTCAGGTAGAAAATCTCAATTCAATAGGTCTAGGTCAACCTGGGCTTAAAGCACGTTTCATAGCATCACAGAGAAGCTGTACAGTACGTAGCAAAAGTTTGCATAATATACCGGTATGTACAAACTATTGCTTAATACCAGAATAAGGCTGGGTACCAGTCACAAGCAATATACTATGTATACCATTACGATTTGGCTGGTAACCTATCTTCGCTAAACAGCATTTTTGTGCCTAGCAAATTCCTGTTCTAAGCAGCCCCCTGAAATGGGCCTCATTTGTGGGTTTTTTTTTTTTTTTTAAAGTTACAGGCTTTTTTTAATGAACATGTACATGGGAACGTTTCTAGATGATGTGAACACAATATTTCATTGTTATGCTAACTGGTAAAATGTCATGGTCATGGATTTTTCGTCTGGCTATTGTTAGACGTCTGTTGTGACCTGTTCCAGTTCCACTAACATCAACAGAGGCACAATTCAGCCTGATAAAAAAAATACTGGCCACAAATTCACATTGGTATCAGTTGTGTACTGATGCATAACCTTGTGCAGTGATGCAGTTCAGTGGCGCACCCAGGGGAGATGGGGGGGCCCCCTTGGGGGGCTTGAGCCCCCCCCCCCCCAAGAGGTTGTAATTTTTTTTTTTGGTAATTTTATTTTGTAATTTGGGTTTTTTTGGTCTCACGATTTGACCTTGGTGATATGTATGTGGCCTATTTTTGAGTAGTATGATAGGGGTGTAAAGTGGTGCCACCAACGTCAAAATAGTCTCCCCCCCAAAAAAAAAAAATTCTGCAGCCAAACATTTTGGGAAAATTTTTTTGAAAATGTTAAACTTCTAAAACATTTGAAAAAAATAATTGAGCCCCCCCCCCCCCCCCAAAACAAAATCTTGGGTGCGCAGTTTGTATGTATGTAAATGACATGGGTAGTTTTTTGGCTATGGAGAAGGTAAAACATGGAATTAGTTTGACAATACTGAATAAATCGGGTAAAACACTGGGAAAAAAATGGAATATGTTATATTAGACACTGAAGCTACTTTTTGGGGGTCATATCACGGCTCAACTGTCATGAAAATGTCCGCTAGACCACTGAGCTGGTAGTTTCAGAAATTCCTTTTTACATCCAGTCACAAGCGTTCCGGAAGGTCTCTTGTCCCACCTACCCCCCAAAAATGCCTTTTTAAGCCCCCAAGAGCAAAAATTATTTTGTGGCCCCTTTACCAAATGGTTCTGGAGCTGTAGATTGAGATGGATTAAAGGGCTAGTTGATACTTAATACGAACTTTAATGTGAAATGACTTCGATGTCACAAAACACTCGTTGTGAAATTGGCCTGAGTTGAAATGTGTTCAACTTTTGCAACTTTTTATTGTGCAATTGCCTTGACATCAAAGATTCATGTTTGCGTCAATTTTGAATCGGCCCTTATACAGGAAGAGGAAAAATGAGAAATTGCCAAATTTCCTAAGACTGGTGATTTAAAAATTCAATTATCTCATTTGATCGTATGGTTATTTGAAGCAATTTGAAGCAATATAAAAACATGGTTTTTTTTCTTGACAGATTCGTATGTGCGCATCTCACTGATGTCTTCCAGTGGTTTTGAGATGACTAAAAGCAAGACGTCCGTCCGACGCGGCCAACCCAACCCAACCTTCAAAGAAACATTCATCTTCCAGGTAAAAACAGCGGCGGGAAAATCCACACAAAAAAAACAAACAAAAACACATGAAATCAGTGCATGAAAAGCTAATCAGTAAACACAAAATATTGAACTGAAAATATTTTAAGAATTGTAGGCCTACAGATTGTGTGTATTTATTCTGGCAAACCTGTCCTACAATGCAACACACTTCTGGGGCCTGTTGTTGCAGTCGTAAACAAAATTGCTTTAGTTGTTTTTTTTTTCAGTGGTTGAGCGTTTTGGCATCTTCCGTTTTGAGGTTATCACATGTGAATTACTGTGCACTACCCAAGTCACCAAAATCCCTAAAACAATATGAAACATAGCCCTAGAGGGCGCTTTGTAGCCATACAACACAAGGGTGAAGCACACTCCGCTTGTGTTTGCACACTGTTACCATATGTGCCATATTTCCCACTGTGTACCAATGTGGTTTTACATTGGACTTCATGCATGGACAATAGGTGGCGCTGTTTGACCACCTGGAGGAAATCTAGTGGGCAGAAACACCACTTTCATGCACTGGTTTTGTTCACACATGGCACAATGTGCGCACACTACTAGTTTTTCAATCCAACTGCCTTCAAACCTGTACAGGGCGAGTCAAAAAAACGAAACCCAAATGACAGGACCAATTTTTGAATGAAGTTTGCCTGTAGCACTTTCAAAATCTAGGATATAAAGCCCAGTCATTAAGCTTTCTTTTAGTACAAGAATCATTCAAATCACTCATGTACTTTTCAAGTTACAGAATTTTGAACACACACACTGTTTTAAAGTTCTGTCCACGGATCACAAAAGAAAGCTCATTGATTGGGATTTCATATCCTAGATATTGAAAGTGCTACAGGCAAAACTTCATTCAAAAATTGGTCCTGTCATTTTAGGTTTCGGGTCTTTTGACCCACCCTGTAGCTCCTTGTTGTTGCTGCAGACAAATAACTGTCTAAACGCCGATTCATACTTCACGTGAGCGCGAGTGTGAAGCAAATATGGCATCACGAAACTTTGAAATTTGCCAAACTTGAAACATGTTCAGCTCTTGCCAATACGCAGTGCAAAAACGTGACACGATGTCCCAAAAATGGTATTTCACATTCACGTTTAAGCTTAGTGTGAACCAGCCTAATCATTCTTTGTCATTGTTAAAAGGTACTTCTTCATGGAGTATGCAGTCCCTCAATTTCACAACTCGGTTTCATGTTTATGTTGAGGGGGCGCTTGTGCCTGTAGTACGGTTTTCTCATTTTGTGACGTTATTCTCCTGTTCCATCCACAGGTGGCCCAGTTCCAGCTGGCCGACGTGACCCTCATGTTCACCGTCTTCAACAAGCGGGGCATGAAGCGCAAAGAGACCATTGGCTGGTTCTCCATGGGCCTTAGCAACAGTAGCGACGAGGAGACGGGCCATTGGAAGGAGATGCGCGACTCCAAGGGCCACCAGGTCTGCCGATGGCACATATTGTCCAACAAGTAGACGCAACCTGCAAACATTGGAAACATTGCATAGAAAATCTGGGTTCAATTTCATGCAGACGCTAAGCTTAGAAACTTGCTAAGCACAGAAAATATCTGCTTAGCAGAAACAGGTCACCAGCCAAAATGCCATTCAATGGACATTGTTTGTGACTGGTTCTCGGCGGTTATCTGCTTAGCAAAAAAAAATTGCTAAGTGATTTTTATAAGCTCCATGAAATTCAGCCCAGAAGACAATATAGCTGTTCATTTACATTTACCCTAACACTCTCAGAATCAGAATTCATCAGGATTATTTTGCAGCAGTTTGGAGGATTTTGCAGGTTTAAGTGTATATCCCAGCCAGTATGAATTTACATGGTATGAAGTATTCAGGAAGGTTCTTAGAAAATTGTCTGTGAAGTTAGGGTTAGCATTCTGTGAAGTCACTTGCAAGGTTGAATTGTCATTCAGTGTTGTAGTCGAGACCCCACAAGACCATCACAAGACCATCACAAGACCATCACAAGACCATCACATGACCATCACAAGACCAACACAAGTCCTCCGGTCTCAATTCAAGTCACAAGCTATTCAAATGAACTGGAACAAAGGCATTCCTTTGTTATTGTTCATGCCCTGTTACTTGTGGCTGGTCTTGTGCTCACTCTACAACTGGTGTTGTGTCTGGTCTTGTGATGGTCGCGACTACAACACAGTTGTCATTTTGTACATTTCTTATGGACCAACTTTTGCAGATAAGGGTGTGTTTGGTCGTTAGCTAGGTCCTGCAAGTGTGCCAACCTCAAACAGAACGATGATATCTTTGAAAAACTGTTTATACATAGCAACTTTCAAAATCTCCGAAAGATAACTTGCAAATGGAAGAGAAATGTTGCCAGTATTTCTTAACTTACTTGGCACGAGAACATGGAAAATTTGCACACTGCAGGAGGCATTATGTTCATTGTGCATGTCGGTCATTTTGGGAAAACGTAACGACGACTCAGGGAGTCAGTCGCCTTTGTAGCTAATGTTGGCCAACGTTGGTGGCAAATGGACGGTCCGAATGTTAGCAAACGTGGAGCGCATCCCTGTATTTAGAAAGATTTGACATTGAAAAGGCTCAAGTTCAATGTTATTTTGGTTGTTTCATTGAAGACCTTTTGCAGTGTACGAACTGTATTAATTTTACTGATGTTCTTAAAACTGAGTAATCGTTACTATTATTATAATTAAAATAAAAGTAAAATAACAACTATTCATAACATTCCCCAGTAACACTCACTAAAACTATCATTTATCAGGAACAAAGGGTATTCTGTTCAAATTTACTAAGAAACTAAAGATTCACTAGTAATTAATTATAGAGCCTTTGCATGACAGCCATCTTGGAGGTTATGTTCTTCTTTGGCATGAGTTGACTTCCTGTTTGTTTATTGCTAAATCAAAAGAACCTCTAAAATGGCTGCCATTTTCGAGATGTATTCAAGAAATATGTGCGTTCATGAGTACTCTTGGGTATTTTGTACTCTTGGGAATGGAGAATAACAGAAATATGTATAAACTATGCTGTAAATGAATTTTTTCAATAAGTTTATTTCTGCCTTTTCTTCTAACAACTAAAAAATTGTATAAGTGTAAGCTTCATCACTGTATTTTGATGGTGTTTTTTTTTTCCATTTTCTTTTTCTTCAAAGGGGGAATTTTGACTCGGATACTTGATTTTAAGTGTAGAAATTTTTTTCTATTAATTTATGGATGAAGTTGTCAAAGAATTCCAAATATGAAACATTTGGGACCAAGTTATGGCTGCCATAAATGCCCCTTCGCAGCAAGATGTAGTTGTCTCCTCTATATGAAGGAATTTAAGGAAATGTGCTCACTATTTCACCGACATGACATCAAGCTGTAGAAACCTTTGCATTGTTTGCTTTTTGCCAACTAAGGCTTTTCTGGGTACATTTGCACATGCTGCTGAATGCTTTCACCATAGGGTAGTAGGATAAAAATATACCATGGTTTGAGGTTGGATAGTCGATATAAACTCCTGAGGTGTTGGAAGTGGACAAACTAGTTCCCTCAGGTGAAGTGCATGTGTAGTTGACTATCACACGTGCAACCCATGCCATAGTCGACTGTGGATGCATATGTACCCTGTGCGTGAATGTTTGCCTGCGCGCTTGGTAAATAGCAAACCTAGCAGCAGACACGTGATGGTGAATGGACCAGTAAGAATTCCGCTGTCATTCATGAATATGTATGAGGTATATAGTAATCAGTTTTTCAACAGAAAGGGCCCATCTATAAATGGTGTCATTTAAGTACATGTATGCTGTGTTACTTCTGTCAGTAGCACTCAGTTTAAATTTAAAACTAATTATTTAGTTCACTGATATCTGTATTGATGATGAAAAAAAACTTTAAATGCTTCTGTCTAAATATATATCAGTTAATTAAGTTGACAATATTGCTGTGATGAACACTCTAGGTGCAAATATTCTTAAGTGTTTCCTGGTTCATATTTTGACAAATGCGTGTATTCTATTGAAATGTGCTGCAAATTTTTCAACTCTTGTGGCATCTTATTCTTTGTATGGCAATCCAATTTTTAACTTTCTTTGCAACAAAGCAATACAATACAGGGTTAGTTGTTACAGTGTAGATTTTAACTAACAAGAATTCAACGGTATTTTGAAGTAAGTTGTACGTTTTCAGAGATTTACACTTAAAGTACATTAGAACAAACAAGGTATAGATAAATAGGAACCTGCATGTACAGGGTACACCAGAAAAAAAACATCCCTATTTTGATAGATATGATTGTCATTTCAGAGATGTATACATATGTTTCTATCAATCAAAGTACAAACATGGCAATAAGTTGACCTGTATAACCGGCATGGTGTAAAGAACTACAGTGGATATCAGAAGGTTGAATTCAAAACTAGACAAAAATCAGTATGCATTTGCAATTTGATCTCTATCTTTGAGGAAGATTGGTCTTTGCGTACATGTAGTTTTGCTATTTTACCAACAAATATTCAAATTAAAAAAATTGATATTTCTGGATATAAAAAGAGACTCTGCATACTGAGATGAGAAATATAACTTTCAAATCACTGGTGTATTCAATTAGTATATAAAAATTTTTTTGTGAGTTTAAGCAAAATTAACAAATGATTATATTTACAAGTTGTTACTTAACCACACTTTCAGATTTACTATTAAGATTTAATTATGCATAAATGTAAGTACTATCTATGGATACAAAACTGAAAATAACACGTCTTCCTCATGTATTTCTGAAGTACAAAGTGTATTCATATAACATATGATGAAACTTATCGTTTTGCTCATTGGTAATATTTCTGTGCCTTTTTTCTGTAGTGAACCTCCACAAGTCAGCTTTGTCCTGTAAGCAGAAACTTTGCCTCAACTATTTTTTATTGAAATATTTCAAAATATTGTACATTTCATTCCAATAGTTAAAAGTAAGTACATATATTCGAAAAGGGCTACTTGTCTCATTCACAGACTGAAAAGTAAATGTATTAAAAATGTATTTATATTCATACATGTAAAGTCTAGTGTCTATTTTTGTAGTTTAATTTAGTTGACATAAGACTTAAAGGTTTTTTGTGTGTAGCGAATTAACGAAAATTCAGTTTTCCATGAATTTGGGTGTGTATATACATGTATAACATTCCTAACCATTTGCTTAGTTAAGTCACTACTGAGGGTATATGTTGGTTCGTGGGTTATTTAGAAGGGAATTGGTGGTGTAGATATTTCAACATTAACTTATTTTTTTTTTATTAAGAACACATCATTTGTAAAACGTACTGAAACAACAGCCCCGCAGCCCGTGGGGCTGTAATAAAATTGGACCATTAACAAATGTGTTTGACGTTGGTGTGCTTATTTTGGAGTTCCTTAAATTAAGGGAATATTTTCTGCAGAATTTAAAATTTACATATTCATGATGCAAAAATACAACCAAACAAGATATTTGTATTATGACTGAAAATAATATTGACACAGTGATACATGTCAATTCAAAATTGTGACTCTTGGTACAGCGTATATAACGGCTCAAAATGACAACCACAGGAGACGGAGCAGTGGAAATGAGTTTCCATTTTTCCAGTCATCGAAAACTTGGGGAATCTGGGAAAACCACCAGACACCTGGGAAAACTCCGGAAATGTGACAGTGATCCAGAAGAGAAAAGTTTTGGCACAGAGAATGGTTTATGCCCATGTGCTATGGTAGCTTTTTATTGTTTTATGCAGTGTGAATATTACACACACCTCCAGACAATAACAATTGGCTGTGCAACACCACCTCTTGACTTCCCAGTAACCTTGTTAAAGGGAATGTGCATCATTGGCTTTTACTGTAATTTTCAGATATGAACTATTTGAGGGGTTAGTATAATAGATCAAATATTGTTACACCAACATGTTTGAAGTTTTGTGTTCCAAAAATGCTGGAAAAACCAAGAAAAACAAAAGCGTTCAAGTAGTCTGGTTCCCTGACTCCACTAAAGATGAAATGGATCAATTTATAGATGCCAGAAAAATGTACGGTAAGGGAACCAGTCTAGCTGGCCTGCACCCGTTCATGAACATGTAACCAATAGCAAACAAAATTTGGACCCCCCAAAAATGGTAAATTTGGAGCAGTAGTTGAAAATAGTTAGGTTTTTCCAACGGTGGCCGACCACCGTTGGAAATTTATACAAAAATACCACTTTTCTTCAAAATGACTTCACACCTGGTGCCATAATTTTACAGGATGCTTTAGACTGTCATTTACCAACATCCTATTAAGGTATTTCGTAAAAATTTGGTAGTTTTGTTTTTCGATGTTTGCAAATGTTGTATATTCCCTTTAAAGTGAAACTATTTCTCGTGAAATTTTGAAAATTGCTCAAGGACATGTCAGGGAAAACTCAGACAATTTGGTTTTCATAAACTTCAGGGGTTCAAGGAAATGTTACAGGCCAACATATGACTGATTTAGATTTTTAGTACTTTTTATTACTTTACTCGTCAAATATATTATTACACCATAAAGCTCCACAATGTACAAACTTTAAGTTAATCACTCAGAAATATATTATATATTTTATATCAAAATGAAGAGACGAATAGTATTTAGCACTGCATTTAAACAAAGCAACAAATATATCTTTTGTTTAAATATCCTTCGTACTCATTTTATGAAATCTGGTCGAAATTGTTAATAAAATATAACACCCTGAAAATCCAGACTGACAAGTAAGTTAAGATTTTGGTTGGCAGTTTATCAATCCCCTGGGTTTGTTTGTTCGGGTTGATTTGTTTTTTCTTTTCCTTTAAAAATAACCAAAATCTACCAAAATCCACTGTAGTGTACAGTAGTATAACATGCAATAGAAAACGTGAACCTATAGCCCCATATAAACGATCACTAGTTGGGCTTCACACCACACATC